ATTAGGACAAATGTCCTAATACGGGAAGCTCAACCAAAGACTAAGCGTCTTTTTTTAGCCTCTCAATCAATTGTGGGTCAACAGTAATATGTTGAAATGCTAAAAGACACAATTGTAATATTTTTCTGCTACAAAACCGGAATCCTGAGATGTCTAAGTGTCATTAAGTGTGATTGAACGTATTGAGACACTAAAATACGTCGTGTCAGTTTTTCAGGAAGCAGTCTTAAAGTTGCTAATTTTTTATTTCACTGTTGACTTTGTTCTTTCTAAGTTAGTTTCAATTCATTTTCTGCACGAACGGCAAATGAAGCTCTTCTGTCCAAAAAAGAAGATAAATCAACCGTTGATCCAGTTTTCTCAAAGTGGGTTAATTGTATAAACAAAGCGTCGGTCATAGTTTTTTGAAATTGAAAAATGTTTAACGTGATATAAATTTTGGAAATTCGACCGTTTAAAAATGATTAAAAATTAATCAATCTTTTTTTTTGAGTTTTTTGAGACTTTTCCAGCTATCTGCTGGCGATGATACTCAGGCTTCACATATCGAATCTGATGTTTTCAGTTTCCATAGAGCAATTTTTAATCTTCTCATGGACCATCTGTTATGACGACTTGAGTAAAACTAATATGTACGAAGCAAAAGCTGTAATTCTAAACTTCATTTAACTTAAGTAGAATGAATTTTAAAGATTGTTGTATTAAGAGGTAATGATCGAAGTGTGTTTATCTTACTTAGATTATGTTTTGTTTCAAAGTTGTTCGGGCTCAGATATTGCGGATTTATGTTTAAGTTGACTTAGAGTTGTTTTAGATTTATGTTCAAGTTCAATTTAAATTAATTTGCCAAAAGGAAAAAAGTTCAGAAAAGTCATTCACTTTTTTGGGTTTCTTGACTCTTTTCCAGGTGTCTGTCGGACTTTTTTCCAGTAAGATGTGAAAATGTCGTGACTTTTTATCGGTAGATTTTAAACCTTCTGGTGAGGGTGCATATGCAACTTTTTTTGTTGTATAGAGCAGGGATGGAAACCGGTCACTTTTTTCTCGAATTGACCTGCCCCAAGTGGTCAAATTTTTTTACAGGTTGGGTCACCTGTCAACCGGTCACAACTGCAAATTTGAAAATCATTGTTTCATAAACCTTCATTCAACATAAGTAATTTCAGTTATACAACCAAGCATAATTAAATCATACTCGAAAAAACCGAATCAAACCAAAGTTGTGCTTATTAGTTTGGTTATTGTAAGCGAGGCTGGCGTCCCTCATCGTGAAGGGACCGAATGTTGGAAATTTATTTTCATTTCTTTTCAGCCAATCAGAATTGGGTATTCAAAAAAATCTCTGAGAAATCAAGAAAATTTCAACCACTTGATATTTTCTCAATTTCAACCCATCTACCACTTGACGATATGATTTTATTCATCTTTTCATGGGCCTATGAGCTCTCCAGTGTTAAATTTTGCGAAATAGAGCTTGAAATAGGTGTTTATTCAACCTATGATTGGAGGTCTTTTTTGAGATAAATATGTGCTATGGCCCTTCTTGAAGAGTCTACTGTTATTGGGGGGAGGGTAAAATTGTCGAAATTGATGAAAGTTTATTTTCGCGTCGAAAAAATAACATTGGCCGGATACCCAGAACAATGGGTTTTTGGGGGGTTATTGCCGCAAATCAAAGGGAAGTTTTCTATATGCCGTCCCTGATCGCTCTTCCGCTACCCTTATCCCTGTCATACGTCAGTCAAAATGTCCCGGAACGCTTATTTGCTTGGACAAATGCAAAGCTTGTAGTGGCATCATAAATGAGGGTTTTCATCGTGAATCTGTAAATCATAGCCAAAATTTTCTCGACCCGTTCACTTTCTGCTATGTGAACAGCATCGAATCTAAGTGGAGAAATGCAAAAATGCGAAATAAGCGTCAATGTGGTACGGCATGAAGCCAAGCGGACTCGTATCTCTGTGAATTTTAGTGGAGAGAGCGTCAAAATGTAAGTAAAAGCTGTAATCCATTTGCCCAAATTATCAAAGAAATTGCTCACTTCTGACCCGCCCGATAAAGTTTCTTCGTATATTATGTTGTAACTGAGGTATTTGTTTGTTCATTACGTGTTTTCAATTTAATTTTAATAAAAAAATCCGAGCGACTATTTTCTTAATTTTGAGCCGTTTAGTGCATAAGACCCCAAAACGTTGCTGTGCTGCTTCAAGTCATTTTTTGTTATACAGATTTCGGTTATGTGCAAAAATCATGTAGCTGATAAGAACTTCTAAGGATTCGGGATGGTTGAAAGTTTGAAAGTTTTCCATCATTCAGTCACTCCATCATGAGAATAACCCCCCCCCCCCCTCCCCGGTAAGCAAACGCAATTACGTCATGATTGAAAAATCGAATCGAACCAAAGTTGTGCTTATTAGTTTGGTTATTGTAAGCGAGCGCAATTGTCATGCTCAGAAAATTACTGACTGTGTGGTTGGAAATCGTCAACACGACCGGCTTGCCACCGGTCGACTCGGCCGGTCAATTGCCTGTCGATCCGATGGGTTTCCTCCGTGATATAGAGCATTGATGGGATCGCTGAAGGTATGCGTTCATTATTAAAACAAGGGAAACATGATGCGCTTGATATATTGCTGTGTGTTTGTATAGGTGATTTCGCAGCAGCTGGTGGTTGAGCACTTGACGGCCACCATTAAAGGACTGAGTGGAATTAAGGGATTGAGTCAAGGCAGTAAAGACCAGCCTTCTAAGATGCTACTGGCCGCCTTCAACAAACTCAGAAAGTTAGTCAACCTCTTACTGTACTGAACAGTTGCAACTATCTCCATCCTTGCATGTTTTGTATTTGATTGTGAATATTGGCTGACAAATAAATGAAGAATAATTACCATTCTGTTCTGAATTGCAAAAAGTTTTAGTTTTGCGCCGGCAGTTTTTTGTTCTCTGGCTGTTTCTCTGAAGAACACATACTCCATAATTGTTTTCAGTGATTGTAAGACACTTGTTTGGCTCGTTGTTACATTTCGTCATGCATCATGCGAATCTTATTGTATAAATAAAAACTGAGGATGCTATCAAGTTAGGTGTTTGTAAACTAGATGAAGCGGACAAATGAATGAAGCGGACAAATGAAAGAGTTTTTTTTGGGTTAAACTTTTAAGGAGATTGTTGAACTTGATTGTTGGAATAGAAGAATATTCACAAGTGGAGGAGGAGGGATGGGCAAGTTGTTTATGTTGTGATGTTTTGTAGTTTCATCCAGCCACTGTTGACAGTGTTGAACAGGATGGGTCAGATACAGCAGCTGAGGATGCACCTGAACCAGAAGCTGTCTCTCCTCTCCTCCTCCAGATCCCAATACCTGCACTCCTGTCTCCTCACTCTCAACAAGGCCATTCTGCACGACATAGAAGCACACACTCTCAACCCCAAACACAAGCCATACCCTAGCGAGGACCCACTGTTAGGTATGTTAATGACTTAACTTTTCTTAATGTTGATTGCTCGAGCCATTCGAGACTTTTCATTTGTAAACATCCTCACTGTGTAACTTAGGATTGGAACATAAAGTTGGAAACAAAACATGGCAACTAAAGTAATTGAAAACTCAAAAGAAGAAGAAAGATTCGATAATTATTTTCAAAGTACGAATCCCACTTCGGTCGCTGTCGGTGGGTTCCCAGTGTCATCCGCCTCCTCTAGGTGGGACCGGTTTTGGTAAAATGGATGACATCCCTCTCCCTCAGGCTGGCTATAAATGGGCAGGGCCGGTTGCTAATAAAAAAAAGTAGACCTCGGTACAGGAATGTTAGTCGAGAATGTGCCTTGTAGAAGAGTAACTGCAGAAGTAAAGTCAGGTCTCAAAACATGGGCCTTAGATTTTAAAAAAACCTGATGTGTTTGTTCAGTTGCTTTTTTTGAACTTACCGACTTGTTTCTATATAAATATATAGAGGCCGGATTAGTATTAAAAGTATTCTCAGAGTTTTGTTTTGCTAGTTGATCTGTCGGAGTATCTGAACCACAGTGGACTGAGTGACCCCCTCAGCAAAGTCTACATCCTGACTCCGGATCCCAGCATGAAGTTCGTACCTGTTATCACCACCCTGCTAGTGATCGGACACCTCAACAGGGCATCTGCCCCCTTCGCCCGCAACATGGCCACCTTCATCAACCCCTCCCCCTCCTCATCGTCTGCAGTGGGCGTCCCAGCCGACTACGCGGACACCCGAATGTTGCTCCTAGGAGTGCACACATTCCTCAAGCAGTTCCACAACCAGGCTAGTATCTTTCGACATCCTCTTTCTGGTTATTGGGGATTTTAGACGGAAATTAGGCATGTTTTGAAAAAAAAGGTCTTTTTAGGCTTCTATTCTCTCACCTGTCTCTCTCTCTCTCTCTCTTTTTTTCTCTATCTATCTATGTTTGTCTTTCTTAGACGATCCTTCATTTTTGGTCCCTATTTGTTAGTCTGGTCTATAACGACTGAATCTATTCGACCATTTTTGCTCGGGCGCGATGTGATACTCTTCTTTTCACAGGTGCTCCTAGAGGTGTTCTCGTACATGGGCTCATATGTGACGTCATTGGTGTCTCTCTTGCCCTCTGGTGACCCCTCGAAGCCCCTCTCCGAACTTCCTTCTGACCTGTCCCAGGTGCTGCACTTCATGCGCCAGCTGGCTCTCATCTCCGACTCCAACGACACTCTCTTGTCCAACTACATCCCCGCTCATATCTTGGAACTGCCTTTACACATGTGAAGCATATGTCCTCCATCTATCTTATCATAGATTAGAAATTTATAGTTTCATAGCTGAATATATTTAATAAACTACATTTTATATCCATCTCAATAATTTATATTCTTATAAACTGTTTTGCAGCAATTCTCAGTTTGTATGACTAGTTGTTCTCTTCAAGTTGATCCAAACTAAAAACTAACTAAATTAGCCTGGCTGTCTGCTATCTAAGCATGCATTTGTGTTAGTTAAAATTGCTAAGTTAGCTATTATGAAGTTTATTTGTTTTTCAAGTTTCGTAAGTGATCCAGTATGAATTCCAGTTTCTATTTCTCTCGAGTCTCTAAATTTTCCTGTCGTGTTCTCAACTTCTCTCAAAACTTGACGCCAGTCGTTCTAGAAATTTTCGGCCTTGATGAAGTTATTTCGTTTGCTCATGGATGGAGGTTCGGGGTACTGGTTGCATTCTAGTTTCGTGGCCAGCTGTGGAGCAGTGTACCATTTTGCGTATCGTTTCAATGACCTGAATCAAGTTGTTTGTATTTGATTCGGTGTGTCATTTTACACTGCATATTCATTCTTTTCACAGGGGAGTCTGTTTCTGCTGCAGATCCCGACAGCCAGTAGAATCAAGATGGAAATGAAGATTCCACCCAAGATTCCAGTCACACTGGGATCAAATGTGAAGCCCCCGCGTACCTGTAATATAATTTTATGTTCGGACTTCTTATTATCTAGGAACAATAAAATATGACTCATGGCATATCACAACTTAGTATACCAGCTGGTATTCACTAATTCACTTTGTTTTTGAACTGACAGACTACCCCGAAAGGTTGATAATAAGAAGACTATTATTGCTCGCATTACTCTTCTTCTGTCAATTTTGGAAATGATGTTATTAGCAGTAGTGACCAAAGGAATTGATATTTTGGAAACTTGATTGTTTCTGCTTTTTCCAACTAAGCGCAAATCGAACCATTTGGCCTGAGATTCTAATTTTTTGATACAAAATTTAGGTTTCATAGCTTGAATGAATCTCAAATACTCGATAAACTAATGGGGTAGGGGCAGTCAAAGCGCGCTTAGGTATGTCCTGACAACAGGTCAAACTCAGTTTTTTCAAGTTTGAATCTATAATGCATAAGCAGCATGATGAATCTACCTCGTTCGAAATCCTTCATCATCATCATCATCATCATGACTAAGGCACTACTGCCCATTGTCAGCCACATATTGAGTCCCGAACTATCGCACGCCATCGCTTTCTGTCCAGGGCTGCCTCCATGCAGGCATCTTTCCAGCACAATCTCCACTTGTCTGCCCTCATGTTCGGTGGTTTCAGAACACGTTCGAGGTCAGCAGCGACTGTTGATCTCCATGTTCTTCTGACCCCACCTCTTGGTCTTTTCCAAGTGGGCGCCTTCTCGAAGAACAGTGCCTCCTTCGTCACTCTCTCATCCGGCATTCTGAACACATGTCCACACCACTTCAGTCGCATACGCCTCAGCACATAGTCCATAGGTGAGTCAAGTTGTGCTTTGCGAAGCAGTTCCTGGGTAGCTATTTCGAATCCATTGTAGACAAATCGCCATGCACACCTAGTTTCGAATGAGGACAACCTGGCCAGGTCCCCTTTCTTAACCGGCCATGTTTCTGCGCCGTATAGGAGAGCACTTCTTACGCATGCTTTGTACACTTTGCTTTTGGTCCTGGTGGTTATGTTTCTGTTACTCCAGAATTTCTTCAGCTGCGCAGCATTTCTAGTCGCGCTGGCTATTCTGTGCTGAACTTCTGGGGTAATGTCTCCGTTACAGGTGATGCGGCTTCCTAGGTAGTCGAACTCAGTGACGTTTTCTAGCTTAACACCATTACAAAATAGCACCGTTGGCTCGCAACAGGAGAACATGCACTTAGTCTTGGACTCGTTCAGTTGGAGTCCTACCAATTTTGCGGCGTCAACTACTCGATTCAGTAAGTTCTGGGCGTCATCTGGATTGTCCTCTAGCAGGCAAATGTCATCTGCATAGTCCAGGTCAGTAATACTGGTTTCTAGCCGGATACCTAGATTCGTGTTATCTGTGGCGACGTTCAGGATCCGATCAATGAGGATGTTGAGCAGGAAGGGTGACAGGACGCCACCCTGGCGGACTCCTGTTTACACGTGGAACGCCTCTGATAGGTTGTCGTTTCTTCGCACGATGCTGTTGGACTGTGAATACATGTTCCTGAGAATCCTAAGCAGCTTGTCTGGCATTCCGTGATCTTCCAGGATCTTCCATATGGCATCTCTCTTGACGCTGTCAAAGGCAGCTTTGAAATCTATGAAGACCATCACTGTGGGTCTATTGTACTCACTTCGCTGCTCGATTATCTGTCGTAGGGCGAAAACTTGATCTCTACAACCTCTTCCCTTCTTAAAGCCGGCTTGATTATCTCTCGCGTTTGAGTCGTAGAGGTCGTCAAAACGTGCGAGTAGTATAGCTTCCAGGATTTTTAAACCAATGCAGAGCAGAGATATTCCTCTATAGTTGCTGCACACTAGTTTGTCACCTTTTTTATGAAACGGCAGGAGTATTGACGTTCGCCATTCATCTGGGACTGCCTCTTCTCTCCATATATTTTTGAAGAGGTCTTTCAGAAGAAGTACTATTCTCTCACCTCCTTTTTTGAACAGTTCTGGTGGGATGTGGTCGCACCCGCCAGCTCTGTGGTTATGGAGGCTTGCTAGTGCAACCTCAATCTCACTTCTTAGCGGCTCTCCCTGATCTATATCCGTAAAGACTCCAGTACTCGAGACGACCTTGGGCAGTTGGGCCGGGCTGTTGTCAGCATTCAGAAGTTGGCAGAAGTGAGTTGCCCATCGTTGCATGACTTCCTTGCTATCGCTGATTTGTTGGCCATCGAGACCTTTGACTGTTTGTGAACTACTCGATTTGGCACCACTCAAAGTCCGAATGAGGCGGTACATCTCTCTAGTGTGTCCTCTTTCATTGGCGTCCTCAATTTGATCCGATTTCATGTCGAGGTAGCAGTTCTTGTCTTTTCGGATGAGTTTTTTCACCAGCTTTCGTTGCGCAGCTATTTTCGAGAGTTCAGCGCCCTTAGCCTTGAGGTTTTCACGTGTTCTGATGGCTTTGAGGGTTTCATCAGATATCCAAGGTTTCCTTACGGTGCACGAGATTCCCAGATTCTTTTTCGCCGATGATATCATACTGTCTCTTAGGATTTCCCATTTCTGGTTCACGTTGCTGGTAGATTCGGTTACTGAACAAAGGGCCGTACAGTATTTCCTGGAAGTACCTGTATGTTGGAGCGCATCGAGGTTGAGTCTAACTGTTCTATGGGTTTTGACATATGTACGAAGTTTCGTCTTCAGATTGCATTTCACCATTCTATGGTCGCTGTCGATCCAAATCTTGTCACTTCTTGCTCTGATATCGTTGATCGCTGTGCGCCATCTCCTCTTGATCAGGATGAAGTCTATCTGGTTCCGGGTTCGTCTGTCGCGTGATATCCAGGTATATAGCTGGTGGTTCTTCTTCTGGTACATCGTGTTTGCAATTGCCAGGTCGTTCGTAGCTGCAAACATAGCGAGGCGTTCTCCATTGTCGTTTCGTTTCGATGTTTTTATGAAACGACCTATGTGTTGTTGTTCCGCGGGGTATGCCTGTCCTAGGCTGGCATTTAGATCTCCCGCTAAGATAATTACATCACCGTTGGGGCATTCTTCAAGAGTCTTTTGTAGTGTTCGGTAAAACTCATCCTTGTCGAGAGCTTCTGCGTCCTCAGTCGGCGCATATCCACATATAATGGATAATGGGTAGGGTTTAGCAAAGATGCGGGCGGAGCAAACTCTGGGGCTGGTTGCTTTCCATGATTGCACGGAGCTGCTGAGTTTCTTGTCGATTGCGATACCAACTCCGTGGATGCCTCGGTTGTCGTCATACCCACTGGTGTATACTTTGTAGTTTTTGGTGTTATGCGTGTTGTCTCCGGAAATTCTAGTTTCCTGAAGGCAGGCAATGTGAACTCCATGGTTTTCAAGGGATTTATCCAGGAGCTCGAGAGATCCTGGCTGTAGGAGCGTCAGAACATTCCGGGTGCAGATGTTGATATGGTGTTTGGTATGTTGGAGCGGTTTTTGTGCCGGATTAGCATTTTCCACCATGACGGCACTCATGGTGGCCCCAGTTCCCGCGGGGGGCGTAGCAGTATTCGGAATACATTTTGGGACTTTCATAATGTGGGTTCTTGGCTGGTTTTACAGGGCTCGCCACGCCCCAACCCTCCTCCTTTATCCGGGCTTGGGACCGGCTGCCTTCTCAAGAGAGTTAACAGGCGGAGTTGTTCGAAATCCTTCTGAATCATGGAAGCTACCTTCTTTTACTCTTTGCTAATTATACGTGAATAGTGTGGTGTAAATCACGGGGCTGTATATATTAAGCGAAAACTAAATAAGGAGCAAATAAAAGTGATAAATTTGGGCGAAAATTTTGATAATAAAAGTAAATATTTTATCAAAAATCACCCTAATTTTCCAGACATTGACAGGAAACGGTTAAAGACCACGAAGCCGTTTGTCATTTCACGGTAGCCCGTGAGGTATATTCGTATCGTAAATAGTCCTACCTTCTGTTGGCAAGCTCGCAACACAGCGCGACTGCAGCGGTCACTGTTTTGTTGAATTGCTGTTTGAATATAACGTATATTTTGTATGTAAAAATGGAATAACGTAGGTAATCACATAAAATTCCTGCAAAAATGTACACATTTTAAATCAAAATTTTCGCCTAATTTTGACAATCATTTTCGCCTAAAATAGTTTTCGCCGAAAATAGCCTCCCCCGTAAATCACGTATCGAAACGAAATCACGGTTTCTCAATTTGAAAACAAAGAATTTGATATTGTGCTTTTGCGTGCTTGCGTGCGTTTTTAAGCGTTAAAAACAGTTTACTGTATTACAGATTGACTATTATCAGGGAGCGGATAATAGTTTTAGCAACTAAAAACAACTATTTCCAACTTTTCTGTTGTTTTTCCCTATAACTATCTATTTTCCAATAAACTTCACAATAGCAACTTTTTCGGAAGTTTTCTTTGTTTGAAGCTCATATTAACGGATTCAACGAACACAGATGCGCTGCAGCTGGCGAATATTAATTATCCAATGGCAGCTCAGCCATCCGTGGTTCGTTTTGTTTGTTGAAGTACTTTGTTCACACAACTTTTACTGTGCACTGTAACTTGTTTTCTCACGTTCACAATCACTTTCTCACTTATGTTCTGCTACTGTAACAAAACGTTGTAAATTTAACGTTTTTCTGCAAGTTTTTACCAACTTTTTGAGCAACTTTTCCAGTCAATTTTGAGCAACTTCTTAGTAACTTTTTTGCCTTTTTGAAAGCAACTATTATCCGCTCCCTGACTATTATACAAACTACAAACCGTGTAAGCTTTATATCAACCTACATCAAACAGTTTTTGCTGATTCGAACTAACACAGCATGTATTGATCTCCAGATTAGTTTAAATTTTCCCATCATTCGGTCCCTCCATGAGAATACCCCATTCAAGGTATAAATGCCGAGAACAAGTACAATGATTGCACTGATTGGTTTGGTTATTGCAATTGCGATCTTTTTAGCCAATTTTTAACAAAGCCGAATTTTGAGCAGATGTGAAGGTGGTCATTTTTTCCCGGAGCTAATTTTTAGCGTCTGCCTTTTTTTCTGAGTTATTTTGTGGTCTGTTTAAAACTAAAAATTTTTGAATAATTAACCAAACATTCTACAATTTTTAGCTGATTTATGAGTCGATGTAAAATTGTGAATTAAGCATTTTGCGATGCTGCTGAAATTTGATCGGCTAGTTCTAGCCAATCAGATTGAAGCAAATTAGTTTTAGTTCAAAGTGTTGAAATATTGATGTTTAGGCCGAATAAGTAAAAAGACCCCAGGCGCGATTAGCGGTCTATAATTAAGAAAAGTTCAAGAGTTCTTCAAAGCAGGATTGTTTAGTTGATTTTTTGCAAGTTTTTAAATCTAATTTTTAACTGAAGTTATTTTTTGCCGTGAATGAGCCGAAAAATTTGTGTAGGCCACTGTACATTAATACACATTCATGTATACAGGTTTGATTATCTCAAATAGTCTTGTTATATATTTCACAGTTACCTTAACTTGAAGAAAAATAAAAAAAAAATCACATTTTCTCCCAATATCGGAATAGACAATTTGGAAAGCTTGGACTATATCGTGAATCAATTCAAAAGACTCACCTCACCGACTCAGACTCTTTTTCACCTCCTCGTATCGAGGTTGGCGCCATATCTCCTACTATCCATCTCGCCTGGTATGAATCAGAATAGTCGATTGGGAGAGCATCTATCCACACCAACACCTCTATCATGCCACCTGAAACATCGGGAATAGGTATATTTTGTATCAATGGGTTAGTCACATGGGTCTAAGATCTCTCAAGTTAATTACTTTTCCTTTATTTCAAAAATTCATACCCTTTTTTCAATCCAGTTGTATTGGCTGGTAATTTTCACCTGCCCTTTTTCAATTTCTACAAATTGTGCCTCTTCAACTTAATAGACTTCAATTGCACTTTCAGTAATTACCGTGCACTAATTGATTCAATTATCCATGATGCTTCTGATTGGTATTACCTATCGTCAGATGGTGGTGTATCCTCTCTTATCCGAGATATCTTGAACGGTATTATTTTATGTAACTCACTAGTGGAATGAACTGTTAGATTGAAGTGTTGCAGCTCGAGACAGAACATTGTGCCTCTCTCTTCCAATCCACTCATCAGCGTCAAGTTCAACTGCTTGAACATGAACTCTGTGTGAGTTTGTTCAAACAGAATGGGCCATCCTCGGGGTTTCAATTTTCCCTCAATGACCAGCTCAACGTGGATTTCATAGAGGTCTGCAGGATCACTTCCTCTCCTGCAGAAAATTTCAATCATTCATTTATCACTCGAACTAGATGCGAGAAAAAAAACATTCAAGTGGGAACACTTCGTTTCGGCCTTTCGGTTTATTCTTTTCAGCCATCCAATTGAATTGAAGTTCAGTCATAAAAATGGAAACAAAACCATCTCCGATCGATATTCTCCTATGTTTTTCCACGTAAGGTTGAAATTTTGATTATGTGGCGAACGGCGTCTCTAATAGACCTTTTTATAAGATTTACAAACGTGAAACTTACTGAATTTTGATATGCTCGAGACATATTGAGTTGTTTTTGAGGTCCTTTGTCATCTCGCAACTAGACAAGTCTAGCGTGGGGGTCTTGTGATTGAACAAACTGTACCCAAACTTCAGTCTGTACCGTTGAATCCTTAAACACGAAAATTTATCACCTTTTTTGTTATGAACACTTAACTAAGATTCTTGTTAAGAATTTATCTGAATTAGGAAGTGTTTTCGGAGGATTTGAATTGTAACCTGGATAGTAACTTCCAGAGGTGTAAAGATATCCAAAGTGATTCCGGTTCTTTTCACATGCTTCTAACTGGTTGTTTGAGTCTCCATAAATTGAAGCAAGGAAACAGCTGAACAAGAAAGCAAATGCCAAAAGCATAGTAGAAGTGATCATTTGGGGTTTAAAATTAAACAACTGGTTCGTGAAGAATGAGGCTAAAAGTTACGACTGGCTGGTGTAACGTAACAACTATTTTTATCTGTCACTCTGGCACACAAACACATGGTTCGAATGATGTTAGGCCATTTAAATTGTTACTGGCCGCACTAATGGAGGACAAGTTCGGCAGCCGCTTCATGCTATTTTTAATCATGACTTAATCGAGTGGTGATGATCTTTTTACGTTCAAAAACCAAAAAAAAACTTGTTTGCAAATGAGTGAATGAAGTCGAATACTCGTCAAATATGATTATGCTTACTCAATTATGGTCATTTGTTTAACAATAAAAGAATACAAACATTCGGTTTAAATAACGTTATAACACCATCAGCTTACATCAGTCAAGTTATGAATAAAGAAAAATTAATTCGGCTCAAAGCAATGGTATCTGCACAAGGGTGGCCGGTTAATGAGCATAATGGTCTAAGAGCAGAATGGGTCTAAGAGCAGAAGAACAAAAAATATATGAGCTTCTGGGTGAAACAAGTTTTAGAATCCTCAATATTACCACTGAAAAGATTATATTACACATAAATTGGAAACGTTAATCAAATTTTTTAAACTTTTTAAAAAATAAACTCGATGAAATTACCCAACTTAAGTATGAACTATTCATTTCATTTGTAGTATTGACAATTTTAGTGGTTGTTTTAATAGATTAGCTAATAAAAATCAATATTTTCCCGTTATTCTGCACTTAGAACCTTTCTGCTCTTGGACCATTCTACTTATTGCTCCGCCTCCCTGCACATTAATAAAAAACCACTCAAACAATTATTGAGATAATTTAGAATCAAATTAAATTAAGCTAATTTATGTCATCAAGTCAGCGTCTTCATAGTATGCGAACAAGAGAGAATTCTGTGATATGAAAAAAAATAGAAAACGAGGGCTTGGTTTTGAATTCAATTTTCAGCCAAGCGGCAAACACAACCGAACAATTTCAGTTCTGTTTTTGGGAAGCAGTGCACTGTCTCAATCCCAAAACGGGAAAGCGCTCGGTGAACAAGTGCCCAAGCTTGTTTTTTGAGTTAGCTGATTGGTTGGGCGAATATTGAGTAGTGAGAAAGAGACAGGTGCCTGTTAA